AAAAGAGGAAGAAAAAGAAGAAGAAAAAGAGGAAGAAAAAGAAACCAAGAAAAGGAAAAGAAGAGGAATACAAAGAATAAACAGAGGAATATTTAAAACATCTTTGCAGCTCCAGACGAACTCCTGACATTCCTTTCGGTTTCGTCCCTCATCGTTCCGTGACAAACCAGAATAATTTCCCCCTGAACTTTTTCCCAATATCCCGGAAATCAGCGATCGGATTGCTGCAAGCTCCGATCCTCCTCTGAGCTCTCCTGGGTCTCTCCCTGAGGAATGAGGCCTCTCCCAGCCCCCCTCTCTGGCCTTTCCCTCTCCACCGTTCCCTCCTTCTCCAATACCTCCTTTTCCCACATCTGTATCCAATTTCCTCGCCGCTCCTTGGATTTCGGGCTGGATTTCCCGCTCTGGAGAGCTTTACTTGGGATTTTTTCCAGACTATGAGCACAAAGAATGGCTGGGGTGGCCCCTGGGTGTCGATGCTTGGAGGGGGGGACGATGTGAGGCCACAAATTGTCACGGGATTTGTGCCGGAAGAGGAAGGAAGAGCCGGGATCCAGCCCCCAACTGGTGCTGGTGCCAAGTTTCGTTTCTTCTCCCGGGTTTCTCCCGGTTTCGATTCCTGAGGGCCCCAGGGGGATCCCTCAGGATGGGGTCGGTGGCCCGTGGCGTGGCCTGGCTGCTCGGAATTCCAAGGGTTGGAAAGATTTCAAGGAAAACGCTTTTGGTGTGGGGCTTGGGGCAACCTGGGGTGGGGAAGGTGTCCCTGGTGTCCCCAAATGGGATTTAAGGAATGGGTTGGGATGGGAGGGGTGGAAATCTTGTTTTATTTCCATGGGCAGGGACATCTCCTGCTGTCCCAGGTGGCTCCAAACCCTGTCCAACCTGGCCTTGGACACTTCCAGGAATGGGGCAACCACAGAAAATCTGGGAATTCCATTCCGGAACCATCCCATCCTCAGAGGGAGGAATTTTTTTCCCAATCTCCCACCTATCCCTGCGGTTCAAAAATCACTTTTTTGGCACAGGGATGAGCACAGAGAGGGGACATTCCCAGTGTGGGACCCTTCAGCTCCACCACATCCCAAAACCCAGGGAAACAGGGACCATGGGGTGGTGGAACACCATTCCTTGGGATAAGGGATGGATGTGATCCCCTCCAAGCCTGGATCTGATTCCTGGAGTTCCAGGCACTTCCCTGGCTCCTGGCAGGAGATGGACGAGGCTCATCCCAAAGGGATCCTCCACTAGCCACCCTCATCCCTCATCCCTGTCCCCAGAATTCCCATCCTTTCCCATCCCATGATGTTACCTGGTGGTGGCGGTGGCTCTGGCAGTGCCACCTCCGGAGCGGTGGCACCAGGAAACCGCCTGTCCCCGTGCTCAGGGACGTCCCTTTATCAGCTGTGGGAGGAGGGTGAGGAGCCCCAAACCGCAGCACTTCCCTCTTCGGAGTCCCTGCTCTGATTTTGGGAAGTGGCGACCGCGGCAGCCTTTCCCTAATTCCGTGTATTTGGGGCCAGGGTGGGTTTGGAGCGCTCCAAGGTCTCTGGGTTTGGGGTCCTGCTGGTGGGGCTGGAGCAGGGCTGGTGTTGTTCCCTGTGGGAGCGGTTTGGGATTTGTGCTGATAGCTCGGGAATGTTTTTGTTGTGTCTTGGATGGAATCAAGGGCGGCTCTGCCCTCACCCTGCCCAGAAGGGGTTGGGATTGCAATTGGAACTGGGGAGACATGACTGGGAAAATTGATCCCAACTGATCCAGGAATATCCCACATCATGTGGCTCCAGGATAAACTGGGAAAGAAGGAAAGGGGAATGTTGGAAGTGATGGTGTTTGTCCTCCTGGGCCACCAAAATGGATCCTGGTTGTCCTGGGAATGCTGAATGCTCCA